CCCTGCTCAGTTCCCCCCGTGGTGGATGCTGTCCCGGTGGCCCTGGCGGTGCCGGCCGTGCCCCCGGTGCCCCCCGCCCTCCGGCCCATCATCGCCACCAACACCTACCAGCAGGTGACAGCCTGGCCTGGCCCGTCCCCCCTTAATTTGCATAATTAGCATGTGGAGTGGGGGGGTCAGGTTGGAGCTAATGAGCTTGTTTGTATCGGGGGGCAGGGGGGTGAAGGAGCAATAATTTGCTGGTGCGGAGGGGGCTGAGAACTGGTGCTTTCATCTCACTGATTGTGCCCCCCCTCCTCCCCCCAGGTCCAGCAGAGCCTGGAGGCACGGGCAGCTGCTGCGGCCACTGTAGTAACCCCCATCGTGGCGCCCCCGGTGCCCTTTGTGGGGCCAGGTAGGTGCCGCCTTCCGGCCTCAGGATCGGGGCCCTGCCAGGCGCTATACGTACCCCCCCCCCGGGCAGAGCCAGCCTCTGCCCCAGCCAGGATCGGGGCTGTGCTGCGCGCTGTATGTTCCCCCCTGGCATCTATTCGTGTCCCAAGTGACCCCCCCCGACCCCACTGGGGCCGTGTGATAACCTTCCCCCACCTTGCAGCCGTTCCTCCGCAGAGGCCCCCCATCCTCCGACCTGCCTTTGTGCCCCATGTGCTGCAGAGATCAGGTGAGTGGGAGCCCAGGTGCCTGGGTTTTCTGGGAGGGGGGTGAGGTCTGCGGGGGGGCTGAGAGCCTGGAATGGGGCCCAGAGCAAAGCCTAACACTTTTCTATATGTTTTCCTGTCTGGCTCCTGCAGGTGGTCCCCGGCCTCTGCCCATGCGCCCACCCCATCATCCCTCCATGGTGGGACCCCCAATGCCTGGCCCCCAGGGCCCCCAGATGATGATGGGCCCTCCGATGCAGAGAGCCCCTGGCCCCCCTTTGGGGGGCATCGGCCCCATGAGACCTGGCCCACCTGTGAGTAGGCACCATGGGGTGCTGTGCTGAGGGGCAGGGTGGGGGGCTGTGGCCAACAGGGACCTCTGGGGAGTGCCAGGCATAATCCATGTAGCTGGAGCTTTAGTGGCCAACAGGGAGCACTAGGGTGCAGCAGATGCATTGAAATCCTGCTGGAGGCCACTAGGGGGTGCTGTCTGTTCATCTTGCTGTAGCTTGGGGAGGGCACTAGGGGGATGCTTTACAGCAGGGTGTGGGCGTAGGGGGACATAGGGAACACTGCAGTAGCCAAACATGACCTCCAGGGGGCACCAGACACGACTGTCCAGCTGGGGGGGGCTGCAGTGACCAATGAGGGCTGCTAGGGGGCATCAGACACTATTTCAGGGGAGTGCTGTATCTCCTTTGTAGCTTGATGGAGCACTTGAGGGCACTGAAGGTAGGGTGAAGGTCTAGGGGATACTAGGAGGTGCTGTGCATTAACCAGTGGGGAGGTTCCTTGGATGGGGAAAGGGAAATGCCTCTGGGGGCAGCCATCTGCCCAACTGGGACTGCAGTGGCCAGTGGGGGCCACTAGGGGGCACTAGACACATTGCAATACCACCCGAGTCTCCAGGGGTGCTGTTGCTTAGGAGCAACAGCACCCCTGGAGGAGCACTAGGGGCACTATACTCTGCGGGGCCTGGAAGAGGGTGTCTGGTTAGGCTCTAGTGGGCACTAGGGGAACATGATGAAGTGGGTAACAGGGACCCCCAGGGGGCATCAATCATGAATGTGCCCAACTGGCAGCTGCAGTGGCCAGCAGGGGCCCCTGGGGGCACTGGGAATGAATCTGCCCAGCTGGGAGCTGCAGGGACCACTAGGGGGCACTAGACCCATTGCAATACTGTGGGAAGCACTGTGCAGAGAGAGGAGCAGGGCAGGGGCCCTGGGGGGCATTAGGGAACCCCCAGAGGGTGTCAGATGTGAATCTGCTCAGCTGGTGGCTACAGTGGCCAATGGGGGCCACTAGGGGGTACTAGACCCACTGCAATCCCAATGGGCACCATTTCGAGCACTGAGTCCCCTCAGGGATTGATGTGAGCTGGGGGGCAGGCACTAGGGGTCACTGTGCTGTAGGAGGTAGAACAGGGGGGGGTCTGAGCGGCCCCTGGGGGCCCCCATCCCCTGGCAGCCAACACTGGGTCTTCCTGCCTATCCCTCACTCCACAAGCAGCCACATTTTGGGTGTCTCCATAGCCTCCTGTTAGTGATGGGGGCAGATGGGGCGTGACTTTAACTCTCTCCTTGCTGCAGGTGGGGCCAGGGGTCCCCGTGGGCCCCCTGGCTCCCATGGTGCCAGTGCCTCGCCCTGTCATGGCTGCCCCGAAGATCAACCCCACGGTCATCCAGGCAGCCTCCACCGTCTACTCGGCCCCGCCTGTTAAGAAGCAGGAGGTGAGGAGGGGGACAGGGGCGGGGCTTACCTGGAGGAAGGCGGTGCTGCGTCTTGGACCTGGGTGCTGAAAACCCAGGTGTCCGGGCTCCCAGCCTCCCCACTCCCTTCCCAAACCCACATTCCCCTCCCACAGCTAGAGAGGACCCAGGTGTCTGGGCTCTACCCCCCTCCCTGACCCTGCTTCCTTTCTGGGGGGGAGGAGAAGAACCCAGGTGTTTGGGCTCCCAGTACCCTTTGCTGTGTAACCTCCCAGCCCCCTCCCAGAGTGGGGAAGAGAACTCAGACATCCAGGCTCACTCCCCACTCCCATCCCAGGTTTGAGAAGACCACAGGCATCTGGGCTTTCCTCCCAGCACCCATCCTCTGCCTCCCTCCGGGCTCTACCCCCCGGCCCCCTGCATTCCAGATTTTGAGAAGAACCCAAGCATCTGGACTCCCAGCATAGCCCCTGCTATCAACCCCCAGCCCCAGAGAACCCAGGTGTCCAGGCTCCCTCCCCACACCCCTCCTCTGCCCCCCGCCAGACCAAACTCCCATCCCAGGTTTGAATAGAACCCAGGTGTCCAAACTCCCTGCGCCCCACCTTGGCTTCAGAGGACCCAGGTGTCCGGGCCCCACCTGACCCCCTCCCCCGCTGGGCCAGGAGGAGCTGCGGGAGCCAGTGCCATTGCTGACAGAGGAGAAGGAGCCAGCGGGGCTGGAGGAGGCGCTGATCGGGCCCAGCATGCCCGAGCCTGAGCCCCTGCTGCCCCCAGACCCCCGCGTCCTGCCCAGCCTGCGGGGCCCCGAGCTGCTGCTGCCCCCTGCCCGTGCCCGCCGCCCCCGCCTGCCTGATACTGTCTTCGTACCCGTGGAGGTGAGGGAATGGAGTTTGGAGGAGTGGGAGGGGTCTGATGGTAGTGGGGGTGGCTTTGGGGGTGGGAGTGGCTTAGAGTAGGGGGTGTGGGTTTTGCTGGGGGTGGGAGAGGGTATGGCTTTGGGGTAGTTTGAGTGGGAGGGGTGTGGCTTTGGAATGGTGGGAGGGGCGCAGGGGAGGGTGTGGCATGGTGGGAGAGGCTGAGGCCTTGGGGTAGTAGGAGGGTTTTAGGGTGGGTGTGGTTCAGGGGTGTGGGATGGGCTTGTTGCAGGCAGTAGCATTGTGATGGGAGTAACCTAAGGGCAGGGGATGTGGCGGGGGGAGGGGGGCGTGTTAAAGCAGGGGACATGGGCTTGTGGTAGTGGGAGGAGTTTAGGTGGGTGTGGGCAGGGTTTGATGGGTGTGTTTTAGGATGAAAGGACATTAGGGCAGGGAGCAGGGGTGTGGCCTTGGGGCAACAAGGACATAGGAGTGGCCTGGTAGGGACAATGGGAGGGGCTTTAGTGTGGGCAAGCGCTGGGGATGCAGCCGAGGACAGGGGACTGGGTTCTGCTGGGGTGAGCAGAACTTGGGTGGCAAATGAGAGGGGCTTGCTGACCCTGCCACCTTCGTTTCCAGCCGGTGGTGGAGCCGGTGGCCGAGGACAAGAAGAAGACGAAGCAGGAGAAGCTGAAGCGTTGTATACGCACGGCCGCTGGCAGCAGCTGGGAGGACCCCAGCCTGCTGGAATGGGATGCTGGTGAGCCTGGGACCACTCCCCTCTGCCCCAGGACCCCCTCACGGGGAGGAGGAGCTAGGACCCCACAGCATTACTGTGGCTGCAGTCCATTCCCACTGGGGGGGGGTAGGATCTGTTGTCATGGTAACCATTGGGCTGATGATTCCCCGCCCCTCCACCCCAGACGATTTCCGGATCTTCTGCGGCGACCTAGGCAACGAGGTAAATGACGACATCCTGGCACGGGCCTTCAGCCGCTACCCCTCCTTCCTCAAGGCCAAGGTGATCCGGGACAAGCGCACGGGCAAGACTAAAGGCTACGGCTTCGTCAGCTTCAAGGACCCCAACGACTACGTCCGTGCCATGCGTGAAATGAATGGTATGTTCTGGGGCGGGGGTGGGGGGGACACAAGGTTTGGGAGGTGCGGGGGGCACCAGTTATGTGGGTGCATACAGGTGGCATGGGGGACTGGTTAAGTTGTTGCACTGTGGGGGCTGGGTGGCTTGGCTT